TTCTCATGGATTCATAGGGTGGGAAATTCTTTTATTGCTAAAAGTAAGATCGGCTTCATTTTTGGAAAACAAGGCAAACTTACAGAAGATCCCATTAAGCTTGAGGACTAGATTAAGGTCAATACTATTGTAAGATCTTAGATAATTAACTCTATTTCCTCTGAGTTTCAAAGTGCTTTCATATTTGTTCTTTCTGTTAAAGCATTATGGGAAAGTCTAAATGAAAGATTCGACCAGTCTAATGGCTCTTTAATCTATCAATTTAAGCAATCAATAAACTCGTTGAAACAAGGTGATGATTCAATTGCTACTCATGCTACCAAACTTCAAGAATTGTGGGATGAGCTCCTATGTGTCGGTCCATATTTTATAGTGCAACTGTGATTTGAACCAAAAATATGTTGAATGAATGGAGAGAGACTTGATGATTCAATTTTTTACTGGACTTAATGACACTTAAGAAACTTCCCGGGGACAAATCTCAGTCATGGATCCCTTGCCCAACATATGGAAGGCCTATTCCATAATTGTGCAAGTTGAGAAACAAAAGGAAATATATGTTGCAGCTGAACAAAGTGCCTTTGTTATTGAAGGAAAACAATTGATCAAACAAGAAGTATAATGACAAGAAAATGAAACAACAAATGGACAAGAAAAATTCCTACTGTGATTATTGTAAAAGGAAAGGCCACATTCGTAAATCTTGCTTCAAACTTCATGGGGTGCCAATTTGGTTCAAATAATTTGTGGATGAAAAGGAAGGTGTTGCTAATGCTATAAGCCACAGGATTGAGTCAAATGTCACATGATGTGGGATACCAAATATTGAAGCCATGGTTAGAGTAGAGGTGCAAAGGCTTATTTCTGTCAAGAGGACTAACTCTTCAGCGGATATGGCAAAGTCTATCATTGAGTTCTCCGGTACAATGTTCTTTACTTGTTATGCACAATTAGATGATGGTTCTTGGCTTATAGATATTGAAGCTGCTTGTCACATATGCAACAACTTAGATATCTTCTTCACCTTAAAGTCTGTCTGCACCAAAGCTAAATCTTTCTACCTAACGGTGAGCATCTTTGTGTTGCATTCATTGGTTCTGTTTCTGTTGCCCTAAATTTGCAGCCAAATAATGTTTAATATGTACTTGAATTCAAATTCAATGTCCTATTTGTGAGTTGTCTTCGAAAACACAATCATTTACAAAATCGTTTTCTCATTATCTGAGTTCATTATTCAGGACCAGCACTGTGAAAGACCTTTGACCACTTGAAAACTTGAGAAAATCTCTACATCCATACCTCTCATGTTTCCCATTCTCACCCAATTCCTCGTTTTTTTTAATGGTAGCATTTGGTATAGATGACTAAGAGTATTTCAAATAATGTTCATAAACACTTACCCATCGTTTTATCTTCAAAATCCTTTCCTATGTGATATTTGTTTCAAAGCCAAGCATACTTAATTACCTTCAATAAAAGCTTTTCTATTGTTACTGATATTTTTGACATTGTTTATATGGATCTTTGGGGTCCATATAGATTGTCTACTAAGAATAATTGTCATTATTTTTTAACAGCTTTTTATGATCACTCACAATCTGTTTGGACTTTCTTGCTACCAAATAAGCAAACCATTCATCAAGTTATTGAAGGTTTTATTCTCAAGATTCAAACACAATTTTATAAAACCATCAAATGCATTCTGACCAATAATGGTACCGAGTTTCTAAATCATCATTGCAAAGTCTTGTTAAGTTTGGTATTGAACACCATTATTTATGCCCACACAACTCTCATCAAAATGGTTGAGCTGAAATAAAGCATAAACGCTTATTGCAGCTTACACGAGCTCTCATCTTCCAAGCTCACCTACCTCACTCCTTTTGGGGATGCCCTTCTTCGTGCCACATATTTGTTAAACCGCTTGCCCATTTCCGTCCTCTTCTGGCTTACATCATATAAAAAACTGTATAAAAACCCAACCAGAACAAACTTGATACCAGATCCTTTAAATGCATTTTCTTAGGCTTTTCAACAAGCCGGAAGGGATATAAACTCTATGAAATTGAATCTATGAGAAGTTTGGTTGCTTATGATGTTATCTTTTATGAAGATATTTTCCCTTTTGCAGAAAACTAATTGACTCCTCTGTATCTCTTCCACAATCACTTAGGACTAATCTTGCACTTCCCATTAGTTTCTATCCAATCAACTCACATGCATCATTCTTACCTTTATATGATCCTACCTTTTCAATATATGACTTATCTGCCACCACCATACCTGAATCACAACTTGCCAACCCTTCTGACTCTTACTCATCCGCAACACCTCTACATACAAAACCTTTGCCACATATCCCTCACCAGCTTACTTTCTCTGATCTATCATCTCCTCCACCCGTTATAGCCTACTTGACCTGAAAGACAAATTAAACGGCCTGAGTGAATGAAAGATTACATTTGTCTTACCACATTCTCTTCTTCCAATATAGAATCCTACTATATGTGGCATAGAGCTTTCATTGTTTGTTTGTAGAAACCTACATCTTATGTGCAGGCAAAAAGGATGCTTCTTGGAGAATGGCAATGAATAAGGAGCTCCAGGCATTGGAGAAAACTAGGACATGAGAGGTAACTTCTTTGCCAAAAGGAGCATGTATTATAACTTGTAAATGAATGTAAAGATTAAAGAGAGCTGCTGATGGTAGTGTCCAATAGTATAAAACGAGACATGTTGCTAAAGGATATGTACAAGTGTTTGGACGTGACTACACATAATCCTTTGCTTTTGTAGCACGAGTAGTCACAATGCGACTTCTTCTAGCTCTGGCATCTTCCCAAGGATGGGTGATACATCAATTGTACATAAAATAATGCTTTCATTCATGGAATTCTTGAGAAAGAAATCTACATGCTGCCACCACAAGGAAGCTTAGTTCATAAGGAAAAGTCGGTCGACTGAAGAAATCACTTTATGGCCTTACACAGACACCTTGTCAATGGTATAAGCGCTTCACTGCAAAGCCATCAGATTTTGATTTTATATCTTCCTCCAATGATTTGTCTCTTTTACTCTTACTTATGATCAGGGCCGTCTCGAATATTTCAAGGCCCTAAGAAAAAAAATAAATAATAGACCCTATAAACAAATTATTATTATTATTACTTCTTTTCTGCTGGTGTGGAGTGGATTGTCGGAACTAGTTTGCGATATATATCTTGATTATTATAAAATTTCACAATATCATGACTATTAAAACCAATAACTCAATAATAATAACTACAAATTCTAAAGACGAAGAATATAGGATTAATTTTTTTACAAAAATTGGTTAGAATTTATTAGAATTATAATTGGATTTGGGATTAATTTTAGAAAAATTCTAGTTAGAGTTTATTAGAATTACAATTGGATTGGATAATTGTTGAAAAAAATGAGATGAAATTTAAATTGAATTTTAATAATTAATATATCTAATAATAATAATACACTATAAAAAATATTTACGAATTAGGAAGATAGAAATAATTTTAGAAAATTTAGGTTATAATTTAATTTTAGAATTAAAACTAGATCGGGTAATGGTCGAGAAAAATAAGGAATAAAATATAAATTAAATTGTACTATATTTAATAATAGTAAGATAAATTAAAAAAAATATAGACCCTTTTGAAGTAGAGGCCTTCAGCAAACTCAGGGCTCCGGCTAAGAGCTGGCTCTGCTTATAATGTCTCTTTCGCATGCTTATTAGTCTATACGGATGACATCTTAATCACGCGCACTAGCTTTTCTATGATTCTACGGGTTAAGGACTACGTACATGATGCCTTTACTATTAAGAGCTTAGGTCGTGCAAATCTCTTTCTTGGAATTCAACTTGGATCTACTTCTGTTGGTTTGGTTGTGTTCCAACTTCATTATATAATTATATTCTTTCTGAAGTTGGTCTTCAATACTCAACCAATTGTCCTACTCTTTGGCTGTCGAGTGTGAAATTGCAACAATCTCAAGGTCAATTATTGTCAAATCCAAGTATGTATAGGTATCTGGTGGGTCGATTATTGTATTTGATTATCACACGTCCAGAAATCTGTTATGTTGTACAACAGCTCACTTAATATATGGATGCTCCCACCTCCTTGCATTGGAAATCTGCCATTTGGATTCTCAAGTACCTCAAGGCACAAGAGATTTGCATTTCTTTTTCTTCCCAATATTGATTTCACATTGCACACTTTTTTTTTTTTTATTCAAATTTGGCCTCTTGCTTGAATCTAGAAAATCTTTTACTGGATTTAGTATCCTCTTAGGCTCTTGCTTAATCTCATGAAAATCCAAAAAAACAATCATCTATTGTGAAGTCATCAACTGAAGCAAAATATAGAGCCTTGGATACAGTGGTATGGGAGGTTCTTTGAATTATTTATCTTTTTCACGACCTTCAATTATGCATTAGGTTTGTTATCTCATATCTTTGTTCCCTCTCATCTTCAACTAACAGATGGTTTTACTAAGTCTTTGCCCATATCTTCATTTCAATCCTTTTGCACAAGTGATGAATAATGTGATACACTCGTTGGGCCATTATCAGAAAATGAGAGTTGGATTTGGACTAGATTCCTTCATGTAATTTATGTAAAATAGTGACCACTGTCCGGTGTCATATTGTAATTTAGTCTGTAAGAATTTTGTTTCTTTCATGTAATTTATGTAAAATAGTAACCACTGTCCGGTGTCACATTGTGATTTAGTTTGTTATAATTCTATTTTTTTAATTCCGTTTCAGTCCTTTGATGTATACGTATTCTTTAAAGTGCTTCTTTCATTCAATATTTAAAAAAGATTTTCGCATTGGTTTTTCTTCTTTTGTTAAAAAAAAAAAAGAAAAAAAAACACATAAATGAACTAAATTTAGTCCCAACATATATATTTGGCTTTTATTTATCGAGCAAAAGAAAACATTGATTGGGCTTCAGCCATGTACAGAGGCGTGTATATGTGTTCCTCATTTATCTTATCTTATCTTATCTTATACAGTCAGACACTGTGGAGGTGTAGAAACTTAACTCCGCAAGTGGTTTATTATCGTTCTCGTGCAAGATAAATACACCACACCACATGTTGTTTTCTTTGAGAGTTTGATTGATAAACTACAATGTAAAGTTGCCAAAAATATTAATACCCTTTGGTCTGCAGCTAGCTGAGGTGGATCGTAGGCATTAATTAATCAGCCATGGTTTTGATTTTGGTTTTAGTTTTGATTTTGAGTGGGGCTCGTCCTCTTTCTCCTCCCGGCCGGGGAGCTACGGCTGATTGGAAAGCAACACTCTGCAACAGATTTCGATGGTTTATCCCCCTCCTCCTCCTCGTCCTCGTGTGCTTTTCCATTACTGTGTCTGTGCCTGTCAGAGAAAGACGACGGGGAGCCGTTGCTGGTGGTGGATTTTGTTTCTGCCTCGGTTGTAAGATCCTTGGGCCCGAAGCTCTCCTTGAACAGCTCCAAGAGTCTCATTCTGCTCTTTATCTCTTGAGAAGAAGCTGAAGGAAAACTAATTAGGGACTTGTTTGTTTCGGTTGAGATCACACTAGTGCTGTTGTGGACTGGAGTGCTCCCCAGCGATGGAGTGAAGTCTGCATTATTATGTACACAACACATGATTAAATATGTATTCTGTATTACATACATTGTGTGTGTGTCAAATTCATATTATCATATTTACATTTATTAATTTTTACATGGAAACAAACAAGACACAAATATGTATTACCTCCTCTCACACTAAGGTAGTCATCTTCTGCATCGGATTCCAACCAAGGTTGGGAATCATAGAAGGCTTCATCTCTGCTGCCTGCAAATTAAATTAAAGTCATATGCGTAAGTCGTGCCAACAACTCTCTACCCCATGATGAATATGATTGAGGATGATAATGTTCTGTGATGTTTAAATCTGAATTTTTTAAATAATAATAATAATAAGACTATTTAATATAATATCTTTAATCATGCGCCCGTATGAAATTGTGTGCGCATAAAACCATTGACTATGACTGTGCTTGCGGAAGTTTTCAAAGACAGCCAAACAAACAATAGTTATTACAACGAAATTAGATGGAAAACATACAAAACTGCACCCCAAAAAATATTACTATTAGTTTACTAAAAAATCTTAAATGTATACATAACATATATGATGAAAACAAACGATAATTTCCCAACATAATTAAAGGCCAAATAAAAAATAACGAATTACGCGGAAACTTCTCCCCCAGAAAAAATAAAATAAAATAAAATAATAAATAAACAATCTTTAGATTTTTACACAGAATGAACAAAAAATCGAAAAAAGATAGAAGAAGAAAATAAGAATAATAGAAAACATATAATTACAAAAAGGAGATGAAAAAAATAGACCTGCGGCGGTAAAACGTCCGGATGAGTGTTGGGAATTGAGTAGAAGAGCAGCAACCGTACGATCCCCGCCGTTGACTGCTTTGACCGGCGACGGGATGGAATCCTTCCCATCGTTTAAGACACGTGGCCTGGCGGCGGACGAAAAACATAAACCCATATATACCTCCGATAACCTCGCCTTAATTTGACTGATCACACACAGTTCATTACCGGATTGAGAATCAAGCTGTAAGGATTATTTCGTGATTTAGCGGATAGAAGAAGAAAGAAGGAAAAGGACATTGAACGATAGAAATTACTCCAATTAATCAGATCGTGTTATCGGACAACGGTACGGAATATAAGAATTCGAAGAATCAAGATGATCGTTTTTTGTGATGTAGGGCTGGTCGGAATCGCGAGCCCTATCGGAAAAGGAATGGAATTATTTGGGGTGAGATATGTTTCGGAGTCGTGGAGGAGACAGCGGGGCGGCGATCCTTTCCTTTGTGTGAATATGATACGACCAAGATAGTTAGAAGGAATTTAGAAATATAGAGACAGACAAATTTGGTCGACGCGCTCTACACTCGGCTCTGCTCGGAGTGCGGTGTTTGGTGAGAATAGAAATAATTGATAATTGTTAACGAACAATAAATAAGTTATCAATTGTGTCATTATTATTTTTTTTTTATTATTTTTGTTAACTAATTATTTGAGTTTTGATTCTTCTACTTCCTCCGTCATGATTTATGTTCATTTGATCGGATAGGAAATTTAAAAAAAAGTGAATAAAAATAGAACTTTTTTTATAAAAGAAAATAAAAAATGATATTTTTTCTACTTAAAGAAAAATGGGTATAAATTTAAATAACAATTTAAAAATAAAAATAAAAATAAATTTGAATGATAAGAAATTAAGATCAACTATTTGATTTTATAAGTTATTTTATATATATATATTTTTAAAAATGTATAAGCACAATTATATGTCTTTTAATTTTAGTTTGTGAATAATTATTTGTCAATTTCAAATATTAAATCAATCATGTCATTAAGCAAATCTAGAAAATCAAGGGGGCTAATATTGTCCACAAAGGCCCAATGATTACAAGGTTATCATATCCATGAGATGTTCTCGAATATTGTTTACCAACAGATATAGTTCGGTCTTTTGTCTCATAATTATTAATATATTTTTATTTTTAATAAATTTATTAATTTTAATTATATTTAATAAATATAAATTTTTTTAATTAAATTTTTAAAGATTTAATCAAAATCTCCTTTAACTTTTATTTATTTTTAATAAATAAATATTTTTATTGATAATTAAAATTTTTAATTTTTTATAAAATTTGTTTATATTAATCATAAATAAATAAATAAATAATTTTATTTATTAATATCATATAAAATATTATTTTTTACAAAATATTATTTATATATTTTATTTAAATATAATATTTAAAATATTTAAATACAAAATTTTAATTCTTTTAACTATATATATTGATTTTTATTTCAAAAATACCATCAATAATACTCACACAAAAAATAATACTTCAATTATCATAATTTCCTATTGCTAATTTAATAACTTCATTTCCTTAAATATCATATCATTGAAAACAACACATCAAATATTTTAGAAGGAAAGAAATGAATAATATATATATATATATATTAATTTTGATATTGTTCACAAATAATTACAAGAAAATAAAAACTCAATCAAATTTTTTTTACAGTATACTATATATATGTTTAAGTAATATTACAATAAAATATACTTATTTTATTACGTAAAAATATACTTTTTTTTTTCTAAAAAATTTAACATACATTATTATTTTTTTTAAATATAAGAGAAATAAAAACATAAATATACATTTTTTTTATGACAGAAGAAGTACTTTATATCTGACGGTCTCAAAAGATGTATTTCTACACCTTAAATTCCACTCCAGATCACTCTTGAACGATGTAGCGGAATGATATGCAAACTCAAAAGGTTTGCTGCATTCAGAGTCATGTCGTCTACTCGAAATTCGAACAACAAACAGGCCACAAGAAGTGCAATGCTGAGTGCATCAAAATAAACAACACACAAGCGTTTATTGACCCAGTTCGGCCCTCAACCGGCCGACGTCTGGGGGTAGCAACCCAGGGACGTTCCACTATGAGAAAGGCAAAAACAAGATACAAAAATTCCCCACATAAACTCCACAAAACTCCAACAACACACACAATCTAGTGTATAGTTTCCCTATCATATACATATGCATCTTCCTTCGTAAAGGCAAGCATGCATGGACCCAACCTCCATTAAATGTGTTCTGAGGTGGGACGAAAGTATAGGTGGTTTGTCACATTTTTCTCCTTCAACTCTCCTTGGAACTCCTTTTTCCAAAACAAACTCTTCGGCAGTTTGTCGATATAGCAGACAACAGAAATCTGCTCAGGATATCATTCTGGCTTCACGTTCGTAGCAATTTAGATAAGGTTCAGACCAAACAAAATAGATAAAAAAATCGTCCCTGATTTTTCTACGCAAGACATGGTCTAACATTTCAAGAAAATCCCTTAAAAGAAATGAGAACACTCCCCCTCAACTAGAAGTGAAACTCAATATAATTTAAAACGGGATTTCAGTTTTTCACAAGGTAAGATGAACTCTCAAGGTTCTATATTTCTCACCTCTCATAATGGTCACGAAAATGCTCTGATTTCCTCTCAAGTAAGTGATGAAAAACTTGAATAAAATATTCTCAAGAAACATGTATATATAGTATAAACAAGCCTCCCTTTAACCAATCAAATATCGACACAACAAGCTAAGAAAAGGTCAAAAAACATTTGGACATGTCCTTAAGAGATATATTAGGGCATGGGATGAAATGACATGTTCAATTTCTCATTAATGAGCCAGGAAGTGATTAAAGTCAAGAATACCTCTTTGGGAATGGAGGTGAAGGACTTTATTCTCCTTTCATCTTTGACTTCCATTTGCTTGCAACTTTTGGAGAAGATCTCATTTTGTCTTTTGTTGCAGTGTGTCTGAGATACAAACTTTGTCCCACTTTAATCATCTCCTTATGTTTGCAACGTCCAACACATCAAACCTTGAAGAAAGAACTTGAGTCATGTTGCAGTTCTGCAAGCAGCTGCAGACTTGCAGGCAACTGACGTGTCATCTGATCTGTCTGCGAATTCATGATACAAACAAACAAAAATCGCATACAAACAATCTCCCATTTTTTTGGTTGATGTATCCCACATCGAGGGGAATAAGATGTTGAATAATCCCTACGGACCAAAAGTTAACCATCAATCTATTACATGCCAAGAAAAGCTAGATTGAATCCATCAAAAGTGAAGTCTCTCATTTAATTTATGCAACATAAGACAAAATGGCATTAATAGTTCAAGTAAAAATGCAAGGGTAGTAATCCAGTAGTTCACAAAAGATCAAACCACGAGTTTTTAATTTATCAAAATGAGAGAGACAGAGTTTCCATCATTTAGGTTTCTCCCCCTCGACTTTTGATTCTCTTTCCTCTGTTTCTTTCTCCTTTCTCTGTCTCTCCTCTTTGGGAGGCATCAACGAAAGAAAAGCAATGTCAAGCACCGCCAGAGCTGGATGTTGTGGCATTACCCTCATCATGTCATCCTCAGCAGGGGCAGACACCGTGATTCCAAGCAACATTCGATAAATTTGACCCAATTCCTTCTTGAAACTTAATATACCTTCACTGTGTTCATGAACCTCACGTTGCAATCGTAGGATTTTTTCTTGCAGAAACTGAACTAGAGCTTCTCTTGAAAGTACTAGCCCATCTTTGAAATCGTTGTGAAGATTGGAGAGATTGCACGATGGACTATGTGAAGAAACTTGCACCATGTCCTCATATTCCTCAGGAAGGGCCCCATTCTCAGCAAGAAGGGTAATGATGAGAGTAGGGTAAGACAACCTGGCACGCTTAAGAATATTCCTTTCAGAGAGCTCATGCATTTTCGTTAAAATGACAAGGCCAAAGTTCACAGTGTCAGCATACTTATCAATACAGTAAATTAACTTTTCCATGTCAATGGATAAGCACGATGAGTTTGTTGTGGGGAGGATGTTAAAAGCACATAAACGATAAATGCAGTGGTACTTGACAGAGATGAGGGATGAACTCATGCCACTTCTTCCAAAGTGTGATATTTTTCCTCTAGAGATTTCTCTTGCAACATCAGCAGTCGTTTCCGAGAGATAGTTGATGGGGCATTGTCATAGTCGTTAAATGGAACTTTCAACAGCTCATTTATTGCCTTTGGAGAGATGTCAATCAGCTTTCCTCGTACAAACACTTTGTGAAACCATTTGGACGATTCCTCAAGAACTTCATGAGACAAATTGAAGTAGAATTCTTTCACCAATTTGGAGGAATACCGCGAAGGTAATGTCGCCCAATAAGAAAGCTGCTTTGTCTTAAGATAGTCCAGGAACCCCAATTCTTTGTAGATTGACTTTTCAAACCTGATTTTACTAATTACTTTGTAGCGAGAGATCACATTTTCATGAAATTTCTTGTTCTTCTTTGTAAAGAAAAACTCATTGTATGCAAGATTAAGGTCAATTAAGGGAACAGACGAAGAACCTGGTTCTGTTGACTTTTTGCCTCTTTTTCTCTTTCGATTTCTGAAGGCAGACAGTGGGACTTCATATGCTGATTCTTCAGAGGTGTGATTACAATCTCCTTGATTTTTTTCGGCATGTTCCTCCACTGGTTCTTCTTGATTTTCTTTCTCGGCTGAGATTTTAGCATTACCAGTAACACCACCTTCAGTAGTAGTATTTTCTTCTTCAACAACATCATCTTCCTCAGGTACAGGGAGACATGAGTCTTCATTTCCATGGACAACTTGCTTTTCAACACTCTGAACATCCATTGGTGAGGATCCATGCCGACGTCGTCTTGTGGTACCAAATTAATGTCGGGAACCTCCTGGGCATGATTAGTAGAATTTCGAACCTTAGAGAGCTCAGGAAACACCACTTGAAGTGGCACAGCATTGTTGGCAACTTCATCATGTCGAGGTCTTCTTCGCCCATTTCCTCGGATCTTTCCTGTTCCACGACCCCGATAAGCATCTTGGAGACCTCCTTGTCTGGTTCTCACCATTTTCTTCTGTGAAGGATGATAGAACAAAGAAAAACTTCTGATATGAGAGATATGGAATGTATCTCACATATATAAAGAAAACTTCCTGAGTTTAATCTCGAAATGATGATCTTTCAGGCGCATTAAAATCGCGTGCAGGGAAGGAGAAGGGTTCTCTAATTGCACCTCTTTTTGATACAATACTGTCAACAAGCAATTAAAACTGCTACAGAGTATGACTGGACAACAGACAACGTCAGACATAGAAATAGACAATGACGTAAATGCCCTTGGGATTTTGATAGAGTGCATCTCGGTTGCACAAAGTGGATTATCAGATATTTCTTCCAAATTATCCCTAATTTTCCTTTTCTTTTCAAGAACTTTTCAAAATTTCTCTCCATTTAAAGAAATCTTTTGTGCTTTGAAACCTATCACATAAAATTAGCACATAGAGAGT